ACTCTACTTCTTCCTCTTTGTAGTCATACTTACTGTCTGATCACTAGATTAACTATTAAGCTTTTAGTATGAAATCACTTATCTCACTTAATGATCAAAGTTGATCCACCAAAATTAGAGAATTACTGAGTAGTAATATTTGGACAGAGATATTGTACATTGAATCCAAAAGCACACAGATAAACATCTACAATAAATTGTTCAAATTAATTAATTACACAGAGAGGGTTTGCAAATCTTGTATACTTATAACTTATCTAATTGAACAATTCAGACTGTTAAGTGGTATGTCTGGTTATACAAAAGATATGCATTCTAATTGACTTAATTCTGTGGCATATCTCATAAATTCCTTTTGACCAAATATAGTATGCCTTTCCTGAGTGAGAAATAGGCAAGAATGCATCCTATTACAATGCTTAGGCAAATAAAACCAAACATAGCTACTTGTGTTGATATTAGACAACTGTGTGCAAGTTCTTGTCTTACAATCACACCACAATCACCCCCTGCCCCTCCTACTTTGACGTTCACAATGACCCAGACTATCTCAGCTGTCTCTAGCATATCAAACACTGTCTTGGCAGCAAATGCAACAGAGAATGATGTTTATGTATCTGTCAACAGTGAGCCAGTTCAAAACACCCTTGATATTATGTGCAAGTTTGTAGATCCTTCTGTGCCCCCTGTCTTGTATATAGTGTCCTTAGCATACGTTCAAGAACGTCTGACACCTGTTAACAAATTCCAAGATGCCCAAAAAATTGCATTTTACAATCTTGCCAAAACCTACCTGTCTGCCAACCCATCACTTAGTTCTTCCTATGTCCCCAACTCTATAGCTATTGCACAATCAGCACCAGGTTTTATTGCAAATAGAGACCTTTGAGCCCTTGCCCACAAGCACAACAAAAAGGTATAGGAAGGAATGGTGAATTCTTGTTTTGCTTCATAGATATCAATTCATACTTATTTTTTGTTTCAGTGTATTTTGTGTGCTCATACTGAGGAGCATCTCAAATTCGTCTTTTCAGTAAGCATTGACTGCCTTGCAACAGCCAGACGTGGCTCTTTGTCTGTGGACCTTGTAAGTCTTATTAACATTTGCCTCCCTAATGTTATTCTGTTCAAGGGAGCTTTTGCCACTACAACCTGCTGTTACAAGGAACATATTATAGCAGCTATTACAGATTACCTTAATGATTCCTCAAGAAGGCATGGATACTCTACTACAATCATAAAACAGGTGAGTACAACTTTTGGGCAGCTTCAAGCAGGACAATCTTTGTTCCTAGTTGCTGTAAGGAGTAGCAGGTTGAGATTAGACTGACACAATCTACTTAGGCAAAGGTCTTCAACCATAGTAACCTTGATCCTCTCCCATGTGCTGAGACCTGTCATCTGGACATTGACATTGAGGACATTACAGATGACAAGTCTGAGACTTGTGTGGTTTCGGATGGTCCTTCTGGCTTACAGGCTACTGTGACACCAGACAAGGAGTACTAGGGGAACAACAACCCCCCAACACTTGAAGTTCTCTAAGTACTCAAGCAAGCTGAGTCAGAATATATGTCTACAACAGTTCAGGCAGGCAGTACAGTTGGTGCTTGGGTTGTCAGGGATGAGGGTCCTGGTTGTTGTCAAACCATCTCAAACTGCTACACAGATGAGGTCAGATTAGATAGCACTCAGGCTCAAATTGTCCAGTCTCATAGTACAATTGTGATTCTGGCTGGGTACAGTATTATTATTGCCTCTCCACCTATGTCTAACAGTCCAGATACTCCTCACTGCCTCAGTTCACCTCAGTCACCTCAGTCATCTCAATCATCTCAGCTATGCATTATAATTGCATCTCCTGAAGCTTCTTCCAAGGTGTGTATAGAGAATTTTACTTGTATTCAAGTATCTTTAACAAATACTAATGTATTCTCTACAGTCCAACCTTTCCAGTGAGGCAGTACCCACTGAAGCAGCACCCACTGAAGTAGCACCCACTAAAGCAGTACTCACTGAAACAGTACCTACAGCCTCTTGTATCAGATGCTCCCTCAGACATACACTACATACTGTGTGTTCAGAAGCTGTTTCTAATAATACCTTTAGAGTTTGAGTGTGCAAAAAAAAATTCTGTTGACATGTTAAGTATGCTTGAACACCACTCTGACTTACTTCCATGAATGTGCCTTATTTCTATTTGCATTCATTGTTCTTCTGTGCTTCAAAATGTTTCTGAATTTTTTTCGTCTGTATGTTCAATTGCTATGCATTTTGTTGTTTGCTATCTTGTGTATCTTGTCCCCTATCTTCTTGTTGTGTTATTACAATATTATGAATAACTTGAGTTTTCATACAAGTCAAATGCCTTAAAAAATAATAATTCAAATGCATAGTATGGTATAGTATATGTATATTTGTGTTTGATGTACTTCTATTCAATTTCTGACAGAATGGATGCATACTGAAGTACTACATGAATGTTATTGAAAATACAAGCAATCTGTCAAGTCAAAATAACTCTTCCTTTACTAATTCTCCAATTCAAGGTGTCAACTGACATGTTATCTTGTTAATATGTTACTATACAATATCCCCCAGTATGCCTCAGAAATGTCAATTGTAACTAATATTTTGTAGAATTACACTCAACTTCACACTCTCCTCCTTCATGGATTCTACACTGATTGATCCTATACTACTTGATCCTGCACTACTTGATCCTACACTACTTGATCCTGCACTACTTGATCTGGTACCAGATATTTCTGTACCTATTAATCCTGCACTTATTAAAGCAACAGTTGCATACAAGTTAAGCAAGAATATGGTCAAACCTTGAAGGTCTACAGTAAAAAACATCCCTGCTTTAGAACAGAAGCTTCAGGCAGACAAGAGGGCTGAGAAGGCAGCTGCTGTTTGGTCAGATGTTGTACAAGAAGTTGCTCACCATTACCAAGCACTTGATGCAATTGCTGCTCAGCATAGTGTTAATCCTGAACAACTGAAGGAGAAGGTATTCACTAGAGCATCTCTCAAGAATGAACAGAAAGTGAATCCTTTTAATGCCTTTGTACATTTCAAGGCTGTCCAATACAAGGAAGGCAGTGTGTAGCCTGAATTATGAATCATATTGTATAAGCTTATTTATTTTTTAGATCTATCATCAAATGTTAGTACAGACACAAGAGCAAGACTCTAAGAGATTCATAATCTGTCAGACAACAAAGGTTACACAACATAGCAGTCCTTAGACAAGGAGTCAAAAGATAGCATACTGAAGATGCTGGAGGACCACTGTATGAAGAAGTCTACTTCATCTCAGGCTAGGCCATTGAAGAAGTCTATTGGTCAAACAGTACAGTACACAGGTGAACATATTATTAAAGAGGTGAGTACACATTACATTGTATTATAAATGTATATCCATATCTAACTCTTTTATACTCAGTTATCAAACCTTTCTAAACGAGCAGGAACCTCTTCATTATGTATTATAGTCTGTACATCACCAAATGGCTCACATGCACCAGTTATACACTGTGACAACATATTAAAACAATTCTTACAGAGTAGACTTGGCAAGTCCCTTACTGAGTTTGCTAGCTTGTTTGAAGGATTTGCAA